AAAACGTCAGTCAGCATTTGACTCACTGACCAAAAAATCCCCAAAATCCCAAGATTACCCTAAAAATTAATTTCATGAATGCTCACATCAATTAGAGCAATCTTGAACATATTATAATTTATTATGGCTTTGAAAAAATGTCTGTTTCTTAAAAAAAAAACGATAACTGCAGTTTATTTTTTAAAGAGAAGTTTTTGATGTACCTGTTTCCCAAAATAATTTTGATATTTATTTAAGGATATACGATCCTCAGCCAGGAAGGATAACTCTTTAATTTATAATTTAATTCAAAAAGTATTAAAATAAGGCTTGAAATTGAAATTTTTTCATGCAACAATTTTTATTTTATGCCTCTACGTATGATTCAATGCTCTTTAAAGTTTTAACAAACGTTATTTAAAAAGTTGACATTTGTACCTCATAAAATGAAGCAGAACTTGCATATTTAAAAAAAAAATCAAATTTCTTTTAATTTAGCCTTAGTTACCAATGTTTATATGCATTATTTGAAATTAGAAGTGATTTACAGTGTTTTCTTTGAAAGAAACACTTCATACACTATGCATTATGAAACAATGGAAGTAAGTAGGAGAAAGTAAAGTCCAAATAATTGAAAATTCATGCAATTTTCTTTAAAAGCCTGGATACCTATGATTTTTATTCCTAAAATGTATTTCTTGATCAATTATCAATTAAACAATATGCAGGAGGTAGTTCAAATCGCATTTCCTGAAAAATTATTCGAGATTTACTAATTTTCCCTATATACAATGTAATATGATTAAATTTAAAGATGAATTTTAAAGAAACACCGTGGGTAAATACATTTTAATTTGAGAATTTAGAGACATCTTTGTGAGCATTTTCAATTACTCAATGCCTGATTTTCAGAACCTGAGGATCGGATAACCTTAACATGATAATCTAAAATTTTGACCGAATTTCCTTTCCAGGACGATCAGGACGAAAACTTATGTTATGAAAAATGATCTATCCTGGAAAAATATCTTTTACTTTTAAGATGTTATTTGCAGTATATTTTTACCAGAAATTTAAAACATCATCATGGTTTCATATGTAGATAAAATTTGAAGAAATTTTAATACCCCTCCTATCTTTTTAACATAGCAGGTCATATTGATGGAACAACAGTTTCTCCTGTAGAATTGGTTTAATGAATCACTTTAGGACTATAATTCGTTCATGTATGTGTGCTGATTAAAGGTTTATCATTGTAGTAGTTGGACAATAGTTAAGTTTAGATATAATAATAATAAATGAAATGTAACGCTAACGAACAGTAAACAGGCGTTAAAGTCTTTTTAAACAAAACAAGTGTTGGGCAGATCTTCGGAGGTGAAATAAGGTGCCAAGAAGGAGAAAGCATCCCCTATCGACCAGTCAATCCCGCTGTGTGTTTCATACCACTATGGGGTTAACAGACAAATCAGTGAAAAACATTATGACTCGACAATTCATATAAAACTGTAGGAAATTGAGAAAATGTTTGTACCTTAGACTTCGAACATGCTTGCACGTTTGAAAACCTAGGGCACATAAACTTCAATATGCCGGTTATTATGGTACAATATACATACCCCTTGTGCCCATAAGTCCGTTTGTTAAAAATTTTTTAACGTTTAATGCGTTAAACTATCTCGATGTAATATCTATTCGTTATCCTGAAATGAGTAAAGACGTCATTGCAGAAGATCGTTCTAAAACTTAACGACTAATTTTCTCTTTTGAATTGATAAAGATACTGAATATAAGTGACAAAGTCAAAGTATTTTGCTACTAATTTTTTTAAATAGGCCTACCGTTGATTTTTATTTTCATCAATCTTGCTTCATAACTTTAAACAGACACAAAAAGGTTTTTTTGGCTACAAGTGGACTGAATAACGACTTAAGCATTTTTTTTTAAATACCTGTAAATGTATATGCATCATATTATAAAGAACTTTATCAATCACCTCACATGTATATTCTGATAAATGCGTTTTTTTTCTTCACATCCTTGAATATTGATAGAGATCTTAGTGGAGGATAACTGTTTTGATTGTTACTAGGGATATCAAGCAAGTAATTGAGTCCCACTTAAAATATATCACGTTATTTTCAAAGGAAAGGTTTAACAGCAATTGAAAATCAATATCACATCATCCAGTAAATTCATTAATGAATAAGCAAATGCACTTATTAACGCTTATCAATTGAAAATAAACAGAGAAACAAGATGTCTATGGGTCACATCACTCACCTAAGCACAATGGCTCCGCTACGAAAAAGCTCAAGTAAGTTTTGAAAAGTTTACAGAGGGCTGGATGGTTGAATTTTACACAACCTGAGGATGTTTCCACATCAATATAAGTAATGTTTTTACTGTTCTTGTGCAAAGATTTATACAGATTTTTTCTTTACTCAGATGACTAAATGTTCCAATGATAAGAACGAAAAACCACCTATTTCACATTGAACACCTATAATTTTTGTGTTTCATTTTCAAATAACTAGGTCAATGACATACTTTTCATGCTAGTGGTTCTTAAGTATTTCCCAGGAAATACCTTATTTTTTCACTCTATGACCAATTTTTTCTTCACACACAAAATATTAAAAGCAACAAAACTCTTTAAATAATGAAATATTATAGAAATGGAGCAGTGTTGCTTCATAAAGAGAAATTAATAGAGTTTTGGCCATAAACTTGATACCGTATAAGTAGAATTTTTAGCGAGGATTTAATTTTGGCATTATTAGCGAGGGTGCCGAGATCGCTAAAATTAAATATCGCTTAAAATTAATTCCGTTTTATTTGTAATAGCTTCTTTAATATGCATTTTAAAATTGCTAAAATAACATCTCGCTAAAAAAAATACTAGCTTTTAAGGACAGATCGCTAAAATTGCGTCTCACTAAAATTTCCACTTATTAGGTAATTATTACAGTCTGAATTTCCTCTGTCATATTTATATTTTTTCCCCATTTTTAATGTAATATTTTTAAATATCTGACTGATAGGAACTTTAAGTTATTTATAGCCTCATATTACCTTTGTTGCCGTAATTCTCATGGTATTAACATTATATGGTCATTAATCAAATTATTGAGATATATGCGTGGAATGGTTTTGTTCATATTTTTGAATTTCTTTATTTAATAGCATCCAATTATTTGAAATAATTTATGAGCTTTCAGACATATAATTTTTGCAAACTGATGTCTAAAAATACATGTAACCTTTACATTGTCATTAAAATTGCAAGGAATAAAAGATTTTGACACAAATGAAAAATGAAAAATTTAGTCCGAATTTCCTCTGCAGTACCATACACTGACTTTTGTTCCTTATATTTTCTTCAAATAATAAAATAAGACATTTTTCAATTGATATTGAGTTAAAACTTCGTAATTTTATCCACTTACAACATTTAAGGATTTAACATATTATACTTTATAAAATTTCTTTTTTTCTGTTTTCTGAGGGTCCTTCGGATGAGACCTTAAAAACCGAGGCCCCGTGTCAGCGGCAGGCGTTGGCACGATAAAGATCCCTCACTGCTCAATGGCCCTGAGTGCCGAGTAAAGGTCAAAATTTGAAGCCCTTCACCGGCATACGGTGACGTCTCCATATGAGTGACAAATTCTCGAGAGGGACGTTAAACAATATACAATCAATCAATCAATCTGTTTTCTGAAACCTGAGGAAACGTCATCCTTAACATTTGGTTCCCTATTGTATCCCCTCCCGAGCTCGGGGGGGGGGGGTCATAATTAAAACAAACTTGATTCTACACTACCTGAGGAATGTTCCATATCATTATGACTACACATGACTTTGCTATTCTGAGATTAAGTTCGATTTTTTTCGTACATATTCCTAAGTCACACTTGACCCTCAATCGTTGTCCAAGCCTACTCCTGGGGTTCATGATTTGAACAGATCTGAGTCTTCACTACCTGAGGATATTTCCATATCGAATTGACTTAACAGGACTCTGCTGTTCTTGTGAAGAAGATTTTTCATAAGTATTCCTATGTAAAAATTTTATCCATCAATTTGTCCCGAACCTACCCCAGGGGGTCATTATTTGATTAAACGTGAATCTACACTATCCGAGAAGGCTTCCATATCTATACGACGAAGCAAGGCTTTGCTTTTCTTGAGATAAAGATTCTTCAAGATTTCCCCTTTGTATCACGGTGCAAAAAATTTAGAACAACTTTCCAGAGGCTATCCAAGTCCAACTTGCCCTTCATTGATAAACATATTTTGTTTCTACAATGATGGTTTTCACTAAGAGCACGGAATTAATTAGGTGTATTTTTAAAAAATATATGCATTTTTAAGAAGATTTTTTCTAAATTAATATCATTCCAAGTATTTTTTATCAAGTGATACTTTCAATCTGTTAATCAATGAAAAATTTATAAACTGTAAAAGTTTTAACTTTATACCTCACATACTTTTGGAGCTGTTGTAACATTTTGTTTTGGACATGTTGACCTTTGACGAAACCTTAACTACTGTCGGGATCATGAGTTTTAACAAATTTAATTCTATCTCCAGTAGTTGCAACGTTATTTTGACAACTTACACGAACGATCACGTTATATGAACGATTACACACGATAAAACCCGTTTTACAAACTATCTTTCACGCACACGATTCTACACTTTACAGGATCTCTTACGATTGGTAATGCAAACGCATGATTCTTCACGCATAAAAGTGGAAAATATTTAGAAGTGGATAATTTCGAAACGAAGTAAGGAAAAATTTATGTCAGCCATATTTGATGGTATTTGCATTGGCGTAAACATTGTTTTGTTTAATGAAAAAAAAATATTTTACTGGCACAAGATGAAAACTATAGCGTGTGTTAACAAAAATATCTCCAGAATCACTTCCTCTTGATATAGTATATAAATACTCTTCTTCCGTATTTAAAAAGGAAGGAGAATTTATTGCGTTTATTAACCTGTCTACAAAAACCATTAAATTCATTGTGATGATACATATATGAAGAATTCTAAGGATGATCTTCAGCTTTATACTGATTCTTGTTTATCAGTTACAGGAGAATATCAGTGCACAGGAAGATAAATACACATGCAAGAATCAAGAGTAAGCTTTTAGGTTTAATCTTTATTCTATTAAAAACAAATCACTTTGTTATTATGAAGTTGTTTAAAAACACTGTGTTTCTGTGGTAGTCTGAGAGAGATTTAAATAAAATAACCTTTCTTTTAATCTATCTAGTGGTACCTACAAATGCTGTTCTGGTTTTTATTTGTTTAATAACCGTTGTATTGGTGAGTAAAATATGCTAATATGTTCATCATTCTAACACAGTTATGTAAAAACAAAATGTATTTTTGTTTATTGTTTTAACTCATAATACACAAAAACAATAATGCAAGTTACTTAAAATGTAACTGTAAATAACAGTTCTTGAAATTCTTCAGAATGTTTTGGAGCATATGGAGAAAACTGTTCAAAACCATGTGCAAAGAATTCCTACGGTTACAATTGTAAAGAAACCTGTAACTGTACAGAGAACAAAGTTTGCAATAAATACTTAGGATGTCAGCAGAGTTGTAAGTGGTGTTTGATTTTTGCATGAAATGTTTATTTAGAATTGCATGAAATTGTAAGCAAATTTGTAATATGTGACGTAAGAAAAAAAATAGATCTGCGAATAGATCGAAAGACGATTGCAGCATGAAAAACATACAAGCACATATCATAAATAATTATTATTTTTCTGTATTGTTCCAAATATCTGATTGGCTCAAACTGGATCACATGATCAAGTATAAAAAGTGATACAGACTGGATGTTTCTATTTTAAAAAATTATAAACCTGCTGTTTCTAAAATTGGAAACGTTCTTCTGTGATGCAACAAAAGTGCTGACGTCAAAATAGTCTTTATAAACTGGATGTTTCTAAAAACAGATACTGCAGCTGGTTTTCATTACTATGACGTCATAATGCAAAGGACATAACAATGCCCTGTATGAGAAGGTACTTAGTATTAGAAAAAAGGATTTTAAGACATGTCTTATTAATTGATAAAAAAAAATAATAAAACAATTGTAGCCTTTTGATTCGGTACAATCCCTTGATATATAGACCTTAGAAAAAGCATATCGACCTCGCACTTCGTGCTCGGTCGATATGCTTTCTCCAAGGTCTATATATCAAGGGATTGACCTCATCAAAAGGCTATAATTGTATAATATAGTAGGAACTGATAGCCTTTGTAAGTGGCCATCGGAACGGTTATGTGATAAAATCAGTATAACGCGTTAGCTGGGATACATTACTTTATACCGTACGTAGTTCATTTCATTATTTTCATTATTTTAAAGCAGACATCATGCAAGTAAAGCCTGTTTTCAGAAAATGTCGTATATTAAGAAGAATAAATTATGCATGTATAGTACGTATTTTAGACATTTATAGCAATCACTTAGGTTCATGCAATACAAAGAAAAAAGACTGTGGTGAGAGCGGTATACTAGTTCTGGTGATTGGACTTGGATCCGTTACTCTGTCAGCTTCTCTGGTGTTTGTTGGTATAATGTTTTGTCGATGGTAAGAACCATTTCAGTAGTTTTAAATATTTCTTCAGCCTCTGCTTTTATTTATTTCTTTACTGAAATATTTGCTAAAGTGATTTCTATAACAGAAACTATACACAGTATGGAAAATTGCAACTGGTATGCAAAATTCAATCAAACTATAAAAAAGAGGGGGTTATCATTTGATTCTTTTTTAATCTACATAAAACAATCCGCGATATTTATGAGGAACAAAAATATAGTTTTAACAGTTTACAGGAAGAGTCATTAATAACTTTTGAGTCAATTACATTATCGACATGAATAATTGTTTACAATTAATAATCAATTGTTAATATTAAAAACTAATAAATAGTTAATCTGAAATATCATTGCAGGCGGATACATTTGCAGAGAACATTTAAAATCAGTGAGGACAACACAAGTGGTAAAATATAATTTTAGATCGTAACAGTTGTATATGTATTTTAATAACATTAGGGAAAATATTTAA